GGAGAGGGGAGCGTGGCGGGGAGAGGACAGACCCGTCCGGAATCACCGTATCAGCTGTAGGAAAACGTGCTGCGACTCGGTCAGCTCAACAGGAGGCCAGGCAGGGCAGGCAGCATAACGGCCGGCGGGGCTTGAAAAGCGGGACTGGCAAAGCCAGGCTTAGCGTGGAGGGGTTGTCTGGTTCTTCGAGTGCAGTGCAGAGCTCTGAGCGTTTGCAAAGGGCGTTTTGCTTTAAATGACCCATTTGCCATAGAAAAGGTGAGTGACGAAATTTGTCGCGTCGTGAGCTGCATTTGATCTGCTCCTAGCTAAAGCTGTGACTATCTCTTGCCTTCCAGTTCCTCCTGAAGTCCTGCAGGCACTGTTCTTCAGGAGTCCTTCCCAATGAGAGGATCCGCAACATTGGGATCTCGGCCCACATTGACTCAGGGAAGACGACGTTAACGGAGCGAATCCTCTTCTACACGGGCAGGATAGCACAAATGCACGAGGTCGGTTTGCTGAGGACCGCAGCGCGTGCTGGGTGCCATTGTGACACTGCTGTGACTTGTTTGTCTGCAGGCTGCAGTGCATGGGGTGAGGCAGCCGTGCTTGGTGGGTCCAGTGAGGCTCCTCTGGGCAAGCTGGAGAAGGAATCCTAAAAATCCACTGATTTCTCTGATATCCCTTTAAAAATAAGCAGAGGGTGAGGGGACAGAAACTATAACCCCTCCTTTACTGCAGTGTTCTTGCTCTTTCAGAGCACTTCAGATCTTATTTCAAGACTTGCTGCTCCCTTGCCATCTCCATGGTAGATATACAGTGGAAGATACATGGGGTTTTTGATGTAGTCAAAGATGACTGAAAGAAACAAGGGACATAGGGATATAATTTTTAGCTTCAGGCATGTTCTTTTGTTAAGTTCACAGTGAAGTCTAATTTCCCACAGATTTCTGATAATCTTTTTCAGGAGTGCTACTTAGGAGAGCAAAATACATGAAAGCTACAGGTGCAGCTGCAAAAAAAAAAAAAAATCAAACTTGTTTGTAGTTCCGGAATTCTAAGCAATTCTGCCATGTCTGGTTTTCTTCACTGCAAGAAAGGTGATACTCGGTGTATAAAGCATCACTCTTGCACATGCAAAATTCTTAGTAAACTCCCTTGGACGACTTTTTTTTTTTTTTTCCCTTAAGGTGAAAGGTAAGGATGGAGTCGGAGCTGTCATGGATTCAATGGAGCTGGAACGGCAGCGTGGCATCACGATTCAGTCTGCAGCAACATACACCATGTGGAAAGACACCAACATCAACATCATAGACACACCAGGTAACCACAGTTCTGAAGGCGTTACGGTTGCTGTTCCTTCGTGTGTACAGAGAACACGGTGCCATCTTTGTGTTAGTCACTCAAGTTGAGCTAACGTGGCTCTTTCTGTAGAGCTGGAAACTGCTTCTGTTGGCTGTTGCTCTTTTCTGCATGTATGAGAAAACAATTTCTTGTTAGCTTTCATCTCTGGATAACAGGGTTTTTTTCTTACTCAGGGCATGTGGACTTCACAATTGAAGTGGAGAGATCTTTGCGAGTTCTTGATGGAGCTATTTTGGTTCTCTGTGCTGTTGGAGGGGTTCAGTGCCAGACAATAACTGTCAACAGGCAAATGAAACGTTACAGCGTGCCATTTGTAACATTCATCAATAAATTGGACAGATTGGGCTCTAGTCCAACCAGAGCAGTACAGCAATTGAGGTATTTACCCTTTAAAATTCTTGGTGAAATAATTCTGAACTATTCACAGAGCAGGTTAATATATGATTATATACTATATATAATTATATATATAATATATGTTATAATACTAAAAAGTGTTCTCTTGTGGGGTCTGTCGTCACAGTTTTGGAGGATAATGCCTGACTTGAGGTTAAATCTTAATCTGACTTATAACAAGCCTCCATTTTCTTAAGAAAAAGAAATCTTAATGTCAGAGCCCAGGCTTGCAGTGA